TATTTCGTAAATGATTGTAGTTTTGAACAGTGATTCGGATTATAGACGTTCGGGGAGGCGTTCGACCTCTGTTTATGGGGCTCTTATTAAAGACGACCTCCAAGTCGCTAACATTTGAGCTAAAGCATGATCTGTAATCAGATTTCTCTCGTTTGTCTGATGTTTAGCTAATTTTTCTTAGTGAAACGGGGAATTTTCGTGAGAATGGAATTCATTTTTGGTGGCACACTACACATGGAAGAAGTAGTCACGAGTATACATTCATTTGCTGTCTTTTTTCTGCTGTTTTCTCGACTTAATTTGTGGTACCCGCTAAGTGGAAAATTTATTTTAATCGTCCGCACAACACAACGCTTGCATTATACGCTACACAAATTTCCTCATACGCTACCACCACCGTAGCCGCCGCCAATATATTATAGGTACATTTGACATAACCACACTATATAAACTGCAGTATCATGCGTTAGTTTTATTTCCAATTGTGGCAGTAAACGGCAGAATTTCGCCGCGACTAGTTAGCGTAATGGAGTCGTAATTTGTCTTCACCTGTCTCATTCTTTATCATTTCGCTTCGCATCGCCGATCCCTTGCATATCCACCATAATTTAGCTCCAGAGCGAACGATCGTTATTCCGCCCAATATTGTCTTTGTGTTTCAGTACACCACAATTGCTATCTTTCCTAATCAGCACTAAACTGCAACACGCTCGCGTGTTCTGAACAATTGGCGATCCGTGACTACACAAGCAATACCAAACAAGGGGGTCGTTATGCGTCGGTTAATAACGAAATCACGTATTATAACTCGTGATTGGGAGATGAGTATCGCATTACGTTGAGTGTGTTCGTCATTATCTCAAACCCTTAATAACAATTAACGCAACTTAATGTAGTGGGGATTAAATCGTTTCAGAATAGTGTGTATTAGCGCTGTTGATGGGTAGATAATGGAATTGGTACGGATAACATCGACACGCGAGTACATGTTTTACAACGCGAAAACTAGAATCGTAATTGAATACAATCTATACAATTTATTTTTTATAATTATTCTAATTAAAGTTGTGATATTTCTGAATTTTATACATTGTTCTATCTTAGCGTCAGACGACAAGTGATAAATTCAAAATTTTACAATTGCTATTCCATTATACGTCAATGTTGCGATACCGAGGCTATGTCAAAGGTTATGGTGTTCCACTTTGTGCCAGCTGTTCTACCTACATGACGCCAGTACCGTGATAATGAATGACATAAGTCGAATAAAAATCCGGATCCCGAACTAGCTCACTCTGACACCAGTATCGCTGTGGTTGTTGCACCGGCACCCGGTCGGTATGTCCCGCCTACAAATCCCAATAACGTGAAATTGAGCACCAACATGCACCCTTCAATAATATAGTGAGTTTGCCACAACTTAACGGGAAAGGTCAACGAACATATTTCCCCGAGAATCGTCCACTAACAGAAACGACTTTTGGGAAACCTTGCAGATGAGTTTGTCATTTTTTTTTCGACCTAGATTTTTAATATATAAAACATTGCTTCACACAAAACGAGGGGAAATATTAATAATGTTAATAATACAATCGAAATGGCTTTTTGTCTAATAAAATTACTGAATAATATAGCAATGTAAATTGTGGACAGGTCGGGACGTGGTATGAACATTATTTCCAAATCTACCAGAACATAATACTTAAAAGTGTTTGTTAACTATGAACAAATTTATAAATATCACTTTTGTCTACAAAATAATAAGTATAGACAGTAAAACGGCACAAAAAAAAACGCGAATCAAACTGTTGATGCGTAGATAGATAAACATGCAAGCTCAGTCGACGGCAAATGTCGGCTTCGTTTTGTTTCGTATAGACAGGGCAAAACAAGCAAGCCCAGTCGGCGGTGAATGTCGACTTCATGTAATTATCGTAGTCAAATTGCCTGAAATGTTTGGCTGTTACAGTTACGGTGTAACAGGGTATGTGATCCCGATCTGGCTTTATTGGTTAACCAAGCGTAGTGGCAAGTGTTTGAAATCTCATCATAACGCTTTGTTTAACACTGATCCGATTCTATGCAATTGATTAGCGTCAAGTCATAGTAGATATCGGATCACATCATTCATACGCAGTCAATTCATTAACGACAAACAGTAGGCAGGACGAGTGGTTAATCATGTTACCCTTGGTTTGATTGTGTATGGTTAATCCGCGGGGAAGGGGGGTTATTCCATGTGTAAACTTCTTTCAGACAACTCGTAAATTTCAATTTTTTCTCTGCATATATCGCCAATGCATGTTTTTTCATGATACAGTCCGTGTTGTCAGTTCACCGAACCGGACGAGATTTTAATATTTTACCCCTCTGGGACTTTCCGGCTGCACACAAGTCACACGTTAGGATGATGTTAATGCCTTGCTTAGCTTTCTGTGTGTACATTATTCCGTATTGTGAAAATATTGAATACATATCATATATATATATATATAAAACTGTAGATTTGTTGGCATTTATCGCGGCCCTTATCTTCGTAAGCACGAGTAGAAAACGGCATAGTTAGACAATCCGCCGGTCTAGGGTAATACGCCATGATGCAGAAGTTGGCCATGGGAAGACTGGGTTACCCATAGGGGAAGCATAGGAGTGTGGATGTGCCTATAGGAGTGAGTTAAACAGTGTCGTCACTCTTGTGTGTAAACTTATATGTGTCGATTGTAATAAAATATTACACCTGAAGTTCTTGAAAGTTATCATCATGACAGTCACTGATAGTTATAACCTTAACTTTCGATTCACGATTTTCTGGAGATGCGTTCTCGTGTTTCTGACATCCTGGAAATGCGTGGCCGTGTTTCTGACATACTGGTGATTCGTTCTCGTGTTTCTGGCATACTGGGGACTCGGTCTTGCACTTTTCATTTCAAAATGGTCTGTTCTCCTGTTTCTTACATGCTGGTGATGCTCTCTCGTATGTCTGGCTTCATGGACATGAGTTCGTCTGTTTCAGAATTTTTGCTGATGCATCTAATTATTCTGACTTGCTGGTGCGGCTTTCTCCTGTTTCTAAGTGTTGGCGATGCGCTCTTCTATGTCTGACTTCTATGTTAGTGATACATATCATTTTACTGATTTGCTGTTAACGGTTTCTCGTGTTTTTGATTTGCTGGTGCTGTGTTTTTGTGTCTCCGAATTCGCGACGTGTTTTCTGACTTTCTGGAGACGCGTTCTCGTGTTTCAGATTTCCTGGGCATGGGTTCTTTTCTGGTGGTTGGTTTATGGAGATAGGTGACATTGTTTTCGAAAGCTACCACTGTTTGGTCGTGAAGATGGGTGATAGCGTTATCTGTGATTTTATAAACGATTTACTGGTAAAGGAATATAATTGTTGTGTTGGAATTTCTAGCGATGTGTGACTATGAATTTTTGTGAAAGGATGGTTTGTTTATGTTTTCACAATTCCAGTAATGTATGATCGTATTTGTTTATTCTTGGCGTCCGATTGGCGTTAACTTGTTGAAATACTTAGCGATGGCTGATTTAGTTTTTGATGGTTATCGTTTTTTTTACTGACGGTTGATGTAATATTACGTTTTAGAACTCCTGCCGATTAGTGTTTTTCTAGAAGTGTGTAATTGAGTTTTTTAATATATTTCGTTGCTTGTGTTCATAGGTTTTATAATTCCTAGTGATGGTCGATCACGTTTACATTTTACTGGCGTTTTGTGATTACGTTTCAGAATCACTGTTGATGGTTGATAACACTTTAAAACTCGATGATTGATTACGTTTTGAATCTACTAACGTTTTGTAGTTACGGTTTAGAATTATATGTGATTATTGATTCCGTTTTAAATGTTCTGGCGTAATGTTTTAGAATTCCTGGTTATTGTTGATTGTGTTTTCGAATTGTTGCTGGTCGGTAATTACGTATTCAATTTATTGGCGTTTGGATGTTACGTTTTTTAATTCTCGGTGCTTGTTAATTACGCTTTAAATTTGCTGATGTCTGGTGATTACGTTTCAATATTCCAGGTAATTGTTGGTTACGTTTTCCATTTCTGACATCTGGTGATTACGTTTTAACATTCCAGGTAATTGTCGGTTATTCAATTTTAGGTGAAGGTTAATTATGTTTTTAATTTACTGGCGTGTGATGATTACGATTTCCCGGTGATTGTTGATTACGTTTACAATTCACTGACGTTTAATGGTTACATTTTAGGAATTGTGATGGTTGTTGATTACATGTGTAGTTGTTCTTGAACGCATGTCGTGGTTGATTACATTTCGAATTCCTGGTGACTGACATTTTCATTTGCAATTGCCTTGTGATTGAACATGGCTGATCGCGCTTTTGAATATCTAGCGATGATTGTTTTCGACTTCTTGATAATGGACGATTATGTTTTGGAGTTACTGGTGACAGTTAAGTACGCTCTTGAATTCCTTGTTTTGTGATTTCATTTTCAATTCCGTGACTATGAAATCAGTGATTATGTTTTTTCTCTTTTTTAAATTTCTTGTGATGTTTGAATACGTTCTCGAATCCCTGGTGGCAACTGATTACGGTTTCAGATTTCGCGAGATGTGATTTCAATTTCCTGATAGCCCATTGAGTTATTATGTTTTTAAATTCCCGGCCGTGGGGGATTACGTTTCGAATTCCTGGCCATGGGTAATTATGTTTTTGAGTTCATAGTGATGGTTGAATACGTTTTGAAGTCCTTGTGGGAACTTATTACGTTTCGAATTCCTCGTAATTTGTTATTTCGTCTTCAGTTTCCTGACAATCTAGTGAGTGGTTAGGTTTTTGAATTCATGGTGATGTTTGAATGCGTTTTTCGAATTCCCGATATGAACTGATCACGTGTTCTAATTTCGGGTTGTAATTAGTCACGGTTTCAAATTCCCGGTGGGAACTGATCACG